ACATTAAAAGTCAAAGAACATGGAAAACAGGATTCCGTTGTTTCTAAAGCATATACTAACAAAACGTGTGGTTGGTGCGGATGAAGTCTTGCAATTTGAATATACTGTATAAAGAGTTGCCTTTGGAAATAAATGGTTTCTAAAGTCAAAAAAAATTTTTTTTTCCTAGTGCAATAATCGCATTTGGCTTATCCACACCATTTTTTGTGCTTTGAACACATTATTACACTGTGCTTGTTGAAGTAGTAATTGAAGAGGTATCATTTTCAACGATGCAATTATCGTCATTCATCATATTTATTATTTAAATTTAAAAAAACGAATTTTGCAACTGTAAACTACATTACTTTTTATTTGTTATCGTTATTAATATTAATGCGCAAAGTCTATATTCACAATACAAATTCTTATTCGAATAGAAACCCTGTTAATATGATATTAAAGAAATTTAGGAATTCGGTTTGATCCGAATCAAATCACAATCACTTTAAAATTTGACTCGGTTCGATTCGTTCAGTGCCTCACCTCTGAATATCTTACTTTATCCAATTCTAAAGTCTGTGGAGATGTTTATCTATCTGTTTACAAGTATTGATAAAAATTTTATTTATTATTATTATCCTGTACCACCGACTATTCATGTGAAATTTTTCAGCACCCGATTAACCGGATAATCGGTGAATAATCGGTGAGGCGGGTATAACCACTATGTTCAAAAATGCAAAAAATAAAATTCTAAAGGTATTTCCAAAAATGGAGTTCACGTGATTTTGGTGCGATTATTAATATTAAATATAATGATATTAAATATCTCTTTACATTATTATCATTCTATAATCAATCTATGCTTGTTTATTCTCTAAATCGTAAAAGTGTCATGTAAGTATTTAAAAAACGTACTTGACTCTGTATATATTAAAATTTGTTGGATAGTTATGATAACAGTCAGTATAAATAACCAGACATTTATTGACACATAATAACAAAAAAGTCATTAAAATTGTCTCGCTAACTTGACTATCACGATCTGATTAATTTGACTATCCTTTTGTGAATGTAACCACATGATATCATGTGCTTTATCCAGGAAAATTTTTTATATTCGTGCGAAATTTTTTAAATTTTATTGCCGTTCACAAAAGGATCGTCGATTAATAGTTTTTTACAGAATGATTATTTTTCGAGAAAACCTTTCTAAAGAGTGACTCCTATGCTTTTAAAATTTAGACTGAGCCAGTGTTGTCAAAAATTGTCAGTAAAAAAAGTACATTGGTCCAATTGGTTGGATTTATTGGACTAGACTAGACTTTATTTGGACTTTGTCACAAAAAAATTAAAAATTTCTCACGAGTCAGACTAACTAAAAAAACTTGTCGTAATTGTTTGTTGAATTGTAAAAAACTACAATTGAAAGAATCAAAATCCAGTTATTAGTAGAAAGAAAGGAAACCTTTGAAAATGATTCTCCTCTTATCAAAAAATTATAGAATTGGACTGGGACTGCCAACTATATAATAAAATGACAGAGCCAAGGTTTTATGAATATAAATGAATTTACTCTCCTTATTATAAATGACACTCGCTATTTTATCTTTGTTATACTATACTGGTGGAGTGACATCATTTGTCTAGAAATTTCCGTTACATTATTTATATTATTATTATAATGACATATCACAGTATAATGTACGAGCGAATCTTTAGTTGGTTAAATTCGTACGGAAATAATGGAATTAACCAGTATGCTTTCTTCAATGATTTTATCCAAATTTGGTAATTTTTTTCGCATGACGGACGGGCATTGATTTTTCCACATAATTTTTTTCTTTTATTTTAAATCAAATCGTTTGTATATCACATACTTTGAAATATTTTAATTCTCACCAGGTGGTGTATCAATAATAAGATAATCCAAATTACCCCAAGTCACATCTGACAAAAATTGTTTGATCATGGCTACAAAAAAAAATTATAAAAAATTAGGAAGATAAAAAAAGTGCAAGGAAAAATTTTATTGAATGTAAAATCGATCAATTAAATATAATCTTATCATTATTAACCATTTTTTTTTGGGCCACGCCAAACAATAGAATCATTCTTATTTTGTAATAAGAATCCAATTGACATGCAACATAATTTTTGATTTTCGTCTGCATAAACAGGAACCCATCTTTGAAAAACAAAAATAATTAATGGCCTTTTAATAATAATGATAAACTCTCACTCTCACTTACCCATTAGAAGCTTGATGAACCTGTTTGTCATCTAAACCTAACATATGTGGCATACTGGGTCCTGTAAGATCAATGTCAAGAATACCAACTTTATGACCACCATTTTGAACCAAACATAAAGCCAATTGTGTTGTCACTGAACTTTTTCCTACACCACCTTTTCCGGATAAAACGAGTATAATATGTTTAATTCCTGATAATTTAGAAGCTATATCGGTCATATTTTCATTAAAATTATTTAATCAATTTTTTTGTGGAATCTGACAATTTTTTATACTAAACATGTGACTTTATATGATCATGACTATTACTATGATTGGTTATCTTAAACATAGTGGGCTTAAATTTGATTGGCTGATCGACAAAGTATAGATAAATCTAAAATTTCTGATTTGATCATCTGACTTTAACCCCTTTTCTGACCACCAAAAATTATTTTGGCTTATAAAACACATTAATAGAAAGCTTAAGTTCTGTTTAATATAATACCAAAGTAACTCGAAAAATGATGAGGTAATTCAGAAGTTAGATGAGAAGTGTTTCCAAGCATTCAAAATAAATAGTGATAAATATATGAATTTTAGTTTCGATTTTTAATTTCGATTTTAATTTTGATTTTCCATTAAGGAACCGGTTTGACGGTTTTTGAACAACATTACACAAACCCTTTAAAATACCCAAAAAAGGCAATGTTTTTCATTTTGGGAATACGCCTCACATATATATACCAAAAACCAGTTTTCATTAACACAAAATCCATTTTCAGAATGTATTCAATCAATCATATAGTAGTAAAAATAGTAATAAAAAAAAAATTTTATCAAATAATTCGAAATTGTTTGTTAGTGAAATAGACCCAGCTGCGGTAGTAACTTCCTAATGCGATGCAGCTAGATAATAATGACAGAAATCCCATTTGGTGCAAATTTCCTTTTTACTACTTAACACTTACCGTAATCATTTATCCTTATTATTATTGATAATTAACCAAGTAAGGCACACTCTTTCCCAAAATTTAAAAATAATTTTTTTTTTCATAAATTATAGACAAAGTATATAGACAAAGTATATAGACAAATAATAGTAATAGTAATTAATAGTAATTGAATCAAAAATGAGCGAAAAACCAAAAAAAGCTAGTCGTTCCTTGGTCATTTTTTCTGTCTCGTTTTATATTACAACTGCACTTGTTATGGTTCTTGTTAATAAGGTAATTCATGACGAGAACAACTGCAATAATTAATAAATGTCAATTAACAAATTATTAAATAATGCTATTTTGGTGTTCTATAGTGGGTTTTAAACAGTGCAGCACTTCCCTTTACTTTGCTCTTCTCACAGCTTATTATGGCAATAATACTTTTACACATTTCTAGTCTTTTTGGTATAGTAAAATTACCAAAACTTCAAAAAGATATATGTGTTGGAGTATTTCCACTAATCGGAATAAATGTATTGGGATTAAGTTTTAATACTGTTTGTCTACAATATGTTGACGCAAGTTTTTATCAAGTAAATATTATTAATCTTTTTTTTTTTTTCAAAAATTTGAAATAAATTTAGTTATTAATCCAATTTTAATATAGGTCGCACGTGCCTTGGTTCTTCCATTTACAGTTTTATTCACCCTTGTTTTCCTTAAAAAAAGATCATCATTCTTGATCCTTTTATCATGTTTTATTGTTTGCACTGGATTTTTTGTTGGAGTATCATCAGAAAAACTTACGATTTCATTTCTCGGAGTTTTTTATGGAGTTTTTTCATCCATCACAACAGCATTACATGCAATTGTAATTAAGAAAAGCTTGGCTGTTGTAAAAGAGAACACAATGGACTTGGTTTATTATAATAATTTATTAAGTTCTGTTTGTTTTATTCCTTTGATCTTATTAACTGGAGAAGAATATCAATTGGCTCAAATGTTTTCCGATATTTCTGACCCTGACCTTAAACAATCGTCTTCACCTTTACCAACCTTCTTAATTGGAATTGTAGTAACGGTATTTAGGGATTGAGAAGATATATATATATATTTTTTAACGGATTATTGAAATATTAGATACTTACAACAATTTTTTTAGGGATTCTTTGGATTTTTAATCAACATTGCAGGATTTCTACAAATCAAAGTGACATCACCAATATCACATATGATATCGTCAGCTTTTCGTGGTGTAATTCAAACTGTTCTTGGTGTAGCAATATTTCATGATATTCTTACAATTGGTCGTGTTGGTAGTATTGGTATAATTCTTGTAGGAAGTTGTTTATACACTTGGACAAAAAATTACGAATCAAGCCAAAATCAACAAAATAAAACCAATGAAAAGCCTGGAGTGATCGGCAGAAAAAGTGTTTCTCAATACTTTGTTACACATGAAAATTGTGAAATTTTTCAGCACCCGATTAACCGGATAATCGGTGAATAATCGGTGAGGCGGGTATAACCACTATGTTCAAAAATGCAAAAAATAAAATTCTAAAGGTATTTCCAAAAATGGAGTTCACGTGATTTTGGTGCGATTATTAATATTAAATATAATGATATTAAATATCTCTTTACATTATTATCATTCTATAATCAATCTATGCTTGTTTATTCTCTAAATCGTAAAAGTGTCATGTAAGTATTTAAAAAACGTACTTGACTCTGTATATATTAAAATTTGTTGGATAGTTATGATAACAGTCAGTATAAATAACCAGACATTTATTGACACATAATAACAAAAAAGTCATTAAAATTGTCTCGCTAACTTGACTATCACGATCTGATTAATTTGACTATCCTTTTGTGAATGTAACCACATGATATCATGTGCTTTATCCAGGAAAATTTTTTATATTCGTGCGAAATTTTTTAAATTTTATTGCCGTTCACAAAAGGATCGTCGATTAATAGTTTTTTACAGAATGATTATTTTTCGAGAAAACCTTTCTAAAGAGTGACTCCTATGCTTTTAAAATTTAGACTGAGCCAGTGTTGTCAAAAATTGTCAGTAAAAAAAGTACATTGGTCCAATTGGTTGGATTTATTGGACTAGACTAGACTTTATTTGGACTTTGTCACAAAAAAATTAAAAATTTCTCACGAGTCAGACTAACTAAAAAAACTTGTCGTAATTGTTTGTTGAATTGTAAAAAACTACAATTGAAAGAATCAAAATCCAGTTATTAGTAGAAAGAAAGGAAACCTTTGAAAATGATTCTCCTCTTATCAAAAAATTATAGAATTGGACTGGGACTGCCAACTATATAATAAAATGACAGAGCAATGAAGCTTATTAAAGGAAATGACGATTACAAAGACTGTTATATTAATTATGGAAAAGATCGTTGTGGTGATTGTAGTGACGCCAAAAATAGAAAACTTAAGGCTGCTGAGGATGACAATCCAGGACCATTGTCTGAAGAGGATGAAATGAATAACAGGCCTCCTTCTCGTAATGTTTATATTGAAAAACTTGGTGAAGGAATGACCGAAGAAAAACTATATAAAGACTTTAAAAAATGTGGCAAAATAGAATCAATCATTCTTGACAGAGAAAAATCATGCGGATTTGTCAACTTTATGTCTATTGGTTCTGGAATCAGAGCAGTGAAACGCATTAAAAGAAAAAGTGGTTACAAAAACTGTTATATTAATTATGGAAAAGATCGTTGTGATGATGGTAGCGATACAAATAAAAATAACAAATAAATTTGCAATATAAATTTTAAATTCTATTTAGAATCTTGATTCTTGTTATTCTTGTAATTTTTTTATATATTTCTCTAATTAAATAATAAATAAATGATCGATCATATAT